GATGGGCAGGCTGAATTGAAAGCTATTTCCATGGTCAGACCAGTGTGGATTGATGAAGTCCTTAAGAGCTATGAGGGAGATGAGTTTGCTGCCACCTTGTTAACTGAGCAAATGATATCCCCAGATCCACAATCAGTTTTCACAGTAAGTGAGGGATTAATAAGGCATAAAGGGAGGATCTACATTGGAAATACTGGAGAATTGAGAGGTAAATTGTTGGATCAAATGCATAATTCCCCAAGTGGTGGGCACTCTGGACAGCAAGTCACATACCATAGACTTAAGCAACTATTCTATTGGAAGGGAATGAAGAGGGAGGTTGTTCAATTGGTTAAGGGTTGTGAAATTTGCCAGAAATGTAAAGAGGAGAATGTAGCTTACCCTGGTTTACTACAACCTCTACAAGTTCCTGAACAAGCCTGGCAAGGAATATCAATGGATTTCATTGAGGGGCTGCCCAAATCAAAAGGTAAGGATGTTATTATGGTGATAGTGGACAGGTTCACTAAGTATAGCCATTTCTTGGCTATCCCATCCTTATACAGCAGAAGGAGTAGCTGATCTGTTCATGGAGAATATATACAAGCTACATGGACTCCCTAGGGACATTGTTAGTGATAGAGACAAAGTTTTTGTGAGCAGATTTTGGAAGGAAATCTTCAAACACTTACAAGTGAAACTAAGCATGTCCTCTTCATATCACCCTCAATCAGATGGGCAAACAGAAAGAGTCAACAGGTGTGTTGAGACCTATTTGAGGTGTATGGTCTTTCACAGACCCCAAGCTTGGATGAAGTGGTTGCATTTGGCTGAATTTTGGTACAACACAAACTTTCATACCTCACTGCAGTGTTCTCCATTTAAGGCACTCTATGGGTATGACCCCCCTTCTCTGACCTTTAATGTCATTACCAGTGATGAAGGCCAAGATTGGTTTAAGGAAAGGGCTACTATGATAGCATTACTCAGGGAAAACCTCTTGAAACCACAAGCTAGAATAAAGAACAGACTGACAAACACAGAAGTGAGAGACAATTCCAGGTGGGAGATTGGGCATACTTAAAAATCCAGCCCTATAAGCAGACCTCTGTTGCTGTCAGAAGTAATATCAAGCTGACTGCTAGGTTCTATGGCCCATATGAAGTGATTGAAAGGGTTGGACCAGTGGCTTACATGCTTAAACTTCCAGGAGAGACCTCTATACATCCAGTATTCCATGTTTCCTTATTGAAGAAAAAGGTGGGATCAGGGATTGCACCACAAGTGGAGTTGCCTATTACTGATATTGAGGGGATGATCATGACTCACCCCATAGCTACCTTGGGGAAAAGGATGGTGAAAAAGAACAATGCTGCTGAAGTTGAAATTCTGGTGAAATGGGCAAACTTACCCAAGGAAGCAGCCACCTGGGAAAGCTACCATCACATCACTAAGCAATTTCCCAGTTTTGATCCTTGGGGACAAGGATCAGGTGAAGAGGAGGGCAATGTCATGTTCCTTAATCTAAAAAAGGGGGAAATTCAAGCAGAGGTTGATATGGGAATGAGAAAAGGGCAGAAAACTATAGTATCTGAGATGGAGGAGTGGAATGGATAGTCGGGGACCTAAGCGACGTCGTATGGAGGAAAAGGAAATAAAAGTCTCGGCCACTTAATAAAACGGCGCCGTTTGATTACAAGCTGTTAGAGCCGTTGGAGGGAATTAGCGAAACGACGCCGTTGGCTCTCAAAGCGGTTGGAAGCAGTTGGAGGAGTTGTCAAACGACACCGTTCCTGGTGATATCCCGGCAAGGACAACCGGCGAGAATATTGGAGTTTGTTAGAAGCTTTTTTGGATTCTTTAGCCTAGATTTCTATATGATGTTGTTGGATAGAATTAGGGTTTTTTTTACGCTATGTTTTTGGACAATTTGAATTCTGCTCCTTAATCCCTAATTCTTCTATTTCTCAATCCCTAGTTTCTTCTTCTTCTTTACCCTCTTCCCTATTTCTGTTCTTGGTGAATTGTTTGGGTTGTGACAATAGACTGAATTAATATCTTAAGTATTGATTTTATTTATATTTATTTTTTTTTTGGGTACTACATCTGATAGGGAACGGGGGCACGGAAGTGGGATTCAAACTCAATCTACTGGGGTGTAATTTATTATCATATCAATCTACACACTTATGTTACAGTCACATTTCATGCAATGATAGTGTATAGTGGTATACATGTACTTGACACTAGTAGTGAATCTATGTTGTCACCTTGCTCATTAGTTAAAATGGATAAATCCCAATTATGGGCAGAAATAGCTTATTGACTTTCTTGATTTGAGCTTGTCAGTTATGGACAACCCAAACTGGTTCATCACCTTGTGATTCTTTGCCAATTAAGGTCACAAGGCAATGGAATCCAAGGGAGCATTTACCCCAGTACAAACCCTCATTTGCTGGCTAAGGTCACAAGGGAATGTTTACCCCAGTACACACTCTCGGGCATCCGCCCGCCAACAACCCCCCAACACTTGCTAGTTGTAACTATACAGTTTATCCTTACTTGAACCCGTGACATGACTCTAATACCACTTGTTAGATCAAACTCTTACCACTACTCCTAAAATTATAGCTATTAGCTAGTAGCGAATGTGCAAATTTATTTCCTTATACCGCCACATTTTTAAAAGACAGGGTGATGGACTTACCTTTTCAATCCTCCACTCAATAATCCATTAGCCATCAATTCCTAGACTTAACTCTTCACAAGCTTCCACCCAATAATTCTCTCTCCCAACATATGAATCTTAACTGTACAGTTTTTATGCCCTAAGTCCTATTTCATGCAATGATAACGTATAGTCGTATGCATATATGCAATGATTAACGTATAGTCGTATGCATATACTCGGTACTATTGGTGAACCGATGTTATCACTCCATTAAAAAAGCTCAATTAAAACGGATAAATTGCTTAGTTGACTTTCTCTTTAACAATGTAATAGCATGTGATTTATTCAGTGCTTTTGATTTTAAGATTCATTTTATGAGCTGACCCAGGCCATTCGCTCATACTTGGAAAGCACAACCACTGATCAAAGTTGGTACAGTATCTTATATCATGCATGACGTATGCCTTCATGTTTTAAATTTGCAGGAAGTTTATAAGAACATCTTCAAATCATTCAGCATGACAATTTTCTAATATCCAACATTTAATATCTTTATCTTCAGCATACTTAAACTGAATATTCATTACCACTCTCATGCCTAAACTCATAGTATATTAATAGTGTATGGTTTCCTTCAAAAACATAAATAAATAAATAAATATATATATATATATATATATATATATATATATATATATATATATATATATATATATGTATGTATATATATATAATACCTTCCCTGTCAAATAGGTTAATGACTTTAGGGGTATACCAAAAAGCTAAGCTTTCTTTCTTTGGATCTCCATGAGCTTTTGGCATGTTCACTATAAGAGATGTCGTTTTCATGACTAATCTTAGAATATTTTTTTTTTTTTTTGGTAATATTCTATACCTGAAAACATTTCTTAAAGGCCTCCATTGGTATTGTCTAATTTAATAGACTTTTATAGAAGGGTTGCTACTATACTTGGAAACTTTTCATGAGACTTAATTACTGATATAATTTTGATAGCGGATACCAAATGAAATGATATAAACCATACTTTAACTATACTTCAACTCAGGTTTAGGTATTAGCGAAAGCTCTCTACCTAGGGTTTTCTAGGTTTTCCTTCGGTCGATCCATCGACTTCTTTCTACGGTAGCATCCTATCTACGACCAGCGCTGAATATCTGCTTGCATGCGGATGGCATCAACAATGGAGGAACCTGCAGTGGTGGCCCTAACGGCTCGACGGGCGGACGTCGTTTTGGAGGAGGAGGCTACGGCCTTCTTGCCGGTTGACGAACCGGAGGCCGAACCGGAGGCCGATGGGGGGCGGGGGGAGATGTGGAGGAGAGCTAGGGAGTTGTGGGGAGATTCTTGACACGGAAGCTAGTCAGGTTGAAATTTGTGAGTCAGGTCTTGGCATCAGTTTGGCAGCCGGTCAGTGGGGTTGAGGCAACGGAGATAGAACCTGGCCGTTTCCTGTTTGTTTTCCATCATGTAACGGACATGGAACGTGTTCTGAATGAGGGGCCCTGGTCCTTTGATAATAGCACACTAGTATGCAAGCAAGTCCCTGACGGAGTCATGCCGAGTGATGTAGTATTGGATACGGTGGATCTATGGGTCCAATTGCACGGAGTGCCGAAGGGATACTCGGCCTCTCGGATCTTGGAACAGATTGGAAATTTCTTGGGCAAGTTTGTTAAGAGTGATGACCGCTTCGATAATGTACCATGGAAGGTGTTTCATCGTATTAGGGTTTCGTTGTCTGTTGATAAGCCTTTGAAAAGACGGATGAATTTTATTAAGCGGGATAAGACAAGCTGCTGGGTCACGTTCAAGTATGAGCGCCTACATACGTATTGTTATTTTTGTGGGATGCTTGGACACTCGTATCAATTTTGCCGGGGAGCCAGGGACTCGAAACTCCCGGTGGAGGAATACTTGTTCGGCCCGGAATTGCGAGCGGGGGGGGGGGGGGGGGGGTCGTGGTCCTAGGCCGGTGGGCGGTAGCTGGCTCCTACCGTCAGGAGGGCACGCCGTGGGGCGGAAACAACAGACTGACCACGTGACAGCAGGGCAGTCTTCGGTGGTTGGGAACCGGGCCGTGGAGGCGGATGTTGTAGCGGTGGCCAAGCGCCGCCGGGAGGATGTGGAGGGTGGGGGACGGAGGTATGAAGGAGAGGATGTTGTTATGGCCGAGCGTTCAAAAAACTTGCAGTTGGCGGGTTCTGGTTCCCAGACCCGCCCGGATCAATGAGTACCCTCAGCTGGAACTGCCGTGGCTTGGGTAATCCACGGACAGTTCGGGAACTTGTGGACATGGTGTCCCGTAAGCAACCCGACTTTGTATTTCTGATGGAGACTAAAGTTGCACGTGATCATGCAGAGCGTTTTCGAGTTAAGATTGGTTATGAGGGGCTTTTCTATGTTGATAGTGATGGTTTAAGCGGTGGTATAGCGTTATTGTGGAAAAGGAATACAACGGCCCGGCTGCTAAGTTACTCAACGAACTATGTTGATGTTTTGGTAACTATTACTGGCTTTCCGGAGTGGCGAATGACAGGCTATTATGGTTACCCTGAACGAACAAGGCGCACTGAGTCATGGGATCTTTTGAGAACGTTATCGGGTCGGTCAAACCTCCCATGGGTTGTCATTGGAGATTTTAATGACTTACTATATCAGAATGAGAAGAGAGGAGGGAATCCGCATCCGAATAGCCTTCTACGTGGTTTTGGGGAGGCCGTTGAGGACTGTGGGCTTGCTCAGTTGCCTATGAATGGATATCCGTACACATGGGAGAAGGGGAAGGAGACTGAAAACTGGATGGAGGAGAAGCTCGATAAGGTACTGGTAACGAATGAGTGGCGGGGCATAGTGACATGGGCCAGGGTGATGAATCTGAGAACCCGGAAATCTGATCATTCGGCTCTCTTTCTGGGGATCCATGAGTCTGTTGGGAGAATGGGACCTGGTAGGAGGGGATTCCGTTTTGAGATGGCATGGTTGCATGATGAGGGGTGCAGGAATGTGGTAGAGCAGTCTTGGCAAGAGGGGAGGGGGCAGGGTTTACAGAGCTATATTCAGTACTGTGGGAATCGGTTAACACGTTGGGGTGGAGATCGGTACCACAAGTATGGAAAACGAATTAGTGAGCTGACAAGAGAACAACAGCGACTCAGGGGACGCACCGACCCGGCCTCACTCGCAGAGTTTCAGCGCCTAGAACAACTGCTAAGTCGTACTGAAGTTCAGGAGGATGCCTATTGGAGACAGAGGGCCAAGCAACACTGGCTGAAGGAGGCGGACTCTAATACGAAGTTTTTTCACAGGTATGCCTCTCACCGAAAAAAGAAGAATACTATTTCTAGATTGATGAATGATGATGGGGATTGGGTGGAGGGGGAGCCTATGAAAAATGTTATTTTACAATATTATAAACGTATTTTCTGTGCTGGAACCCCGAGAACTGGGGATGAGTTTTTTTAGGGGATTACTCCGCAAGTTACGCAGGCACAGAATGAGTCTCTGCTATGGCCTTTTGAGCTGGATGAAGTTAAGAGTGCATTGTTTGCAATGTTCCCGGATAAGGCACCGGGCCCGGATGGAATGAATCCGGGCTTCTATCAGCACTTTTGGGATGTGGTAGGGGGGATGTGGCGAGCTTTATAATAAATTGTGTTGAATCCTGTGATTTCCCGCCTAGTTTGACTGAAACCGATGTTGTATTGATCCCTAAGAAGAACACCCCGGAATATGTGACTGACTTGCGCCCTATAGCTCTCAGTAATGTGATTTATAGGATTATGGCAAAAATGCTGACAAAAATGGAGGATGTAATATCTGAGTCACAAAGTGCTTTTATCCTGGATAGGCTGATTACGGATAATATACTTTTAGCTGCGGAAGTGGGGCATTTTTTGAACAGGAAACAATGCGGAGTGGGGGGATGGAGTGCTCTCAAATTGGACATGGCAAAGGCATATGATCGTGTAGAATGGTCATTCCTTTGTAAAATGATGCTGGCTTTGGGGTTTCATGGTGGCTGGGTGGAATTGATTATGAAGTGTGTGACATCAGTTTCATATAATATTCAGGTGAATGGCTCAAGGTGTGATCCTATTATACCCACTCGTGGATTAAGGCAAGGGGGTCCTTTGTCCCCATATCTATTTATTATTTGTGCAGAAGGATTGTCCCTATTGTTACAGCAGGCACATAATGTGGGAGCAATACATGGATGCAGGGTAGCGAGGGGTGCCCCCCCAGTTTCCCATTTATTTTTTGCGGATGACAGTCTCCTGTTTTTTAAGGCCAATGTGGTGGAAGCAAATGAAATTAAAAGGTGCCTATCTGTGTACGGGGATCTATCTGGGCAGGCGGTTAATTATCACAAGTCAAGTATATGCTATAGTAGAAATACAAGTAGTGTTGACAGAAACAATGTGGCTCAGATACTGGGAGTGGCGCAGGCCCCGAATTTTGGCAAGTATTTGGGACTCCCCTCCTTTGTTGGACGACACAAGAAAGCAGTTTTTGCATATGTTGAGGATAAAATTAGGCAAAGAATTGGCTCATGGAATAAGAAATTGTTGTCGCAGGCAGGTAAGGAGATTTTATTGAAAACGGTGGCACAATCAATGCCCACGTTTTCAATGAGTGTTTTCTTGCTACCCATATCGTGTGCACGGCGGTGGAAAGAACTATGAATCGGTATTGGTGGGATTCTGGAACTGACAGACGAATCCATTGGAAGGCATGGGACAAGTTGTGTGTCCCTAAGAAGTATGGGGGTTTGGGGTTTAAGGATCTGCGTGCGTTTAATTTAGCAATGCCGGGAAAACAGGCATGGTGAATGTTGACTAAACCTGAATCTCTAGTGGCACGGGTGTATAAGGCTCGTTATTTCCCGAAAGGAACGTTCTTTGATGCACAAATGGGAAATAATCCCAGCTTCTGCTGGCGAAGCATCATGGCAGCAAAGAGTATAGTTTGTGGTGGGGTCAGGCGCAGAATTGGTAACGGGGAGACTACACTTATATGGACCCACCCCTGGTTACTAGATGAGAATGACCCTATGATACAAACGGAAATGCCAGTACAGTTGCAGGAAGCCAGAGTGGCAGGTTTGATTGATCAACAGACGGGTACTTGGGATCCCTCAATCTTAACAGATTTATTTCAACCTGATGATGTGGCGAATATTATGAGAATACCCATCTCCCCGGATTATGATGATGCCTGGTACTGGCATGGGGACCCAAGAGGTGTGTACTCTGTTAAAAGTGGATACAGAATAATAGTTGGGAACTATCAAGAAAATAATGAGACATTTACTAAATGGCTACCCTTATGGAAACTCAAAATCCCACCAAAATGGAAAACTTTTCTCTGGAGAGCTATTAGTGATATATTGCCTACCACTACAAACTTGCTTATGAAGAGGGTGGATGTGGACCCACGATGTGCCATGTGTGGAATATTTCATGAGAACACAATGCATGCCTTAGTGTTGTGTGATCTTGCAAAAAACATTTGGGACAAATCCAACCTTACAATCCCCAATATAGTCACAAATGTTTTTCATGTTTGGTTTGATGAACTTCTAGAAGTTCTAGACTCTGATGGAATGTTATATGCAGCAGAAATTCTTTACAATATATGGAGAGCAAGGAACCAGGCGGTTTGGGAGGCGACGTTACCGCGCCCGGAGACTGTGCTAAGAAGCGCCGCTACCGCCAAGCTAGCGTGGACACGGGCACATCCACTGCCCATGACCCGTGCCGCCCAGCTGCTACCCGAGCCGACCCTGCTGCAGGAGAATGCCGAACTGCATGGCACCGAAGCCTATGCTGCCGAACCGCCACATGGACTGCCGAGGAGAATTTGTCGAGTGGATGGGGGTTTTATGCAAGAAACAAGCCGTGCTGCGGTTGGGGCAGTCCTACTCGACACGGATGGGGGTTATGTCTCGGCGTACACCGCACCACTCCGGAATTGCTCCTCACCACTTATGGCTGAGGCGCTGGCATGTAAAGAGGCTCTATCATGGTTGAAGGATCGGGGAGAACAGAATGTTTAGATATACACAGATTGTTTGACACTGCACCGCTATCTTACTACACCAACCGTTGGGTTGCGTACGTATCTAGGCTATGCCATTGACAGTTGCAGACATATTGCATCTTTATTTCAGTCTTGTTCGTTTTGTTTTAGTCCTAGATTAGACAATTATCTAGCTCATGCTTTAGCTACTACGGCTTATCAACAGTCCGTTCCTATGTATTGGGATTTACTCCCACCTGATATTATTTCGGCCTACTTTTAATGAAGCACCATATATTTTTCAAAAAAAAAAAAAACTATACTTCAACTCAATTATCCATACACGTTTGTAGATGAAAATTGATGATATTATGTGTGTTTGACTGGAGAGTAGCAATCATCAAAGTACAGATAATAATATATGGTTGAAAGTGATTGTCTAACTAACATGTGGGGATTCACTTGCTTTTGCAGGTAGCCACTCTTCTCTTCCACATTTTTTATTTTTTATTTTTTGATGAGGAAAACCCGCATCTACTTCTTGAGTGTGCACTGAGTAAACCCTGTATAACCGGCTCAAACAAAGAGGGTTGGGATTCAAACTCGTAACCTTGTGATTACAAGTTTGTATTTTTAACCATCTTGGCTAGGGTTATCCCTCTTCCACATCTTTCGTACTATATATGCATGCATGTATATTCAGATTCATAATCATGCCCCCAAGTAAGCAATCTTTGTCAAATGCCCCGTGACACATGCAGTTGGTTCCAATTCAATTTTGAACCTTACATCTCATGTAATGCTTCCCCTCAATTGAATACGCAAATATTACATTAGAGTAGACTCAATTTAAAAAAAAAAAAAAATTCACTCGGTGACTTTTGTTAGGAGTCTACTAGTTGTATTGTACTAGGACTTGTCTTTTATGTTTATATGTATATCCTATACACTTTGTGATATTCAATACAGATTATTCAATCCTCATCTGGTATCAGTAAATTTAGGGTTTGTTATGGCGACTCACGGTTCGGGTTTGCAAGACTGCTCTGTCGGAGTCTCCTCCGAACAGACAGTTTCTGATGGTGTTTCGTCGGTCCTGATTGTGGTTAGCAATTCCCTAACCACGGCGCATCATTTTGTCTCGATTAAGCTCATGTCCTGGAATTATCTTTTCTGGCGGACACAATTGCTTCCCTTCTTGTGTGGACAAGGTCTCCTGGAGTTCGTCGACGGTACCTGTCTGCCCGGTGGTCTGTGTTCCAGCTTCGACCTCGGAGGCGGCTGCTGTGGATTCCGCAGCGGTGGCTTTTGCTCGGACTACTTGGCTTCAACATGATTATGCTAGTCTCTCGATGCTAATCTCATCCATGTCTGAAGAGGTTATGCATCTGGCGGTTGGTCGAATCACGTCCAGGCAGCTGTGGTTGGCTATTGAGCAGAGTCTCGGCTCTATGACTTGGGCGCGGGCTTTGTTCCTTCTCGGCCAGTTGCAAGCTCTCCGGCAGGGAGATTTGTCCGTCGCCGACTACCTGGGGCGGGTTCAAATTCTGATCGAAGACCTCGCCTTGGCCGACCGTTCGGTTGGGCTGGATGATAAAAACCTCTATGTCTTTAGAGGGTTGCGCCTGGAGTACTGGCCGTTCGTCGCAACACTCACCAAAGGCAAACTGGTAACTCTCATAGAACTCTCTGACTTCTTGATGTCTCAAGACTTTATTTGCGTAGACGACGATGATTTGGTGGGGCCGACTGCCATGGCTGCTCAGTATGGAGGTCGTTCTGGCGGTGGTCACTCCTTGTCTTGTTGGTCCCGAAAGGTTTAGAGACGAATCTAGAGGGGAGGGGGGGGGGTGAATAGATTCGTTCAGCTTTTCAAAAACTTTTCTTAATTCGTTAAGTAAAAACTTTGACGAATCGTTAAAATGAAATGCACAGCGGAAATAAGGATACGAGTTCTTTGCACGATTTGTTTAAAAGCATTTTTCTCAAGCAGTTAAGATATGAAAAGATGAAAGCAGTGCGTAACTAAAGAGAGAGAGAGAGAGAGAGAGAGAGAGAGAGAGAGAGAGAGAGAGAGAGAGATTTTTATAGTGGTTCGACTGTTAACTAAGACTACTCCACTCTACTTCACAACTCGTGAAGGTTTACACTATCCCCTTAGTACAAAGTCACTCCAAGATTGTTTCTTGACACTAAGTTGAACACAATCTTGAGTATCAGGTTTTTTGACTACACTTAGTCTACTCCATCTCTATCTACTCTTCATGTAGAGAAAAGATGAAATGATATATCTTTTCTTCCAACTGGAAAACTTGGCTTAAGTTGGATGAAGATGATGCTGCTCAAGTTTTCTTCAGATTTGGATGTAGATTTTTGAGCTTTTTCTCTTTCTCTCACTAGAGCTTCATTGAGACAACTTGTATGATTTGTATTCTCGCAGATTGGTGTGTCTTCTGGGTTGATGAAGTATGCTATTTATAGGAGGGAAATTTGTTCCGTTGGAAGTAAGAACAAGTTTCAAACCACCCTATAGTCCAGTGGGTAATATCCTTGGGATAACGAGTGCATGTGAAATGTCAGTACTTTATAGTCGTTGGTCCAAGATGTGTGCTGACAGTTTTTGTCTCACATCACTTCAAAAAGACGAGGCTTTCACAGTATTTTGACTTGGGGATTTGTTCCTAGGATTCCATTTGCTTCTGGGAGTAGGAAATGTGCAATCATCAATAAACTGTTCAACATGAGGATGAGCAGTCTTAACGATTCCTTAGTATCAGGAATGGTTCGTGTGCACTCCTGACAAGTTGTCTTTACATAGTTAACCCGATTCTATCCAAAATGATTTATCTTTAATCATTTGGTTCTTGAAATTATCAAAAGGTGGATCCTTCCATTATTCGATCACTTGCAACCTTTTGGTCTTCTATATCTTCAGGTCTTCAAAGTCTTGATTTGTCCTAATCTTGGATGCAAGGTAGAACTAACTACTAATGGTTCGACCATTTGCTTTCGAGTTCACAGCATAAGTGACTCGGGTTCTAAAAAGACTTAATTGCAATAGATTGAGGGTTATGGGGGACTTAATTTGGTATTATCAAAATCTAAATACAAAGTGTTCCTAACAATTTCTCACTTTCTGATGATGCCAAAACCTATACTCTAACTAGAAGGCCAAAGAAATTTGAAGATGAATAAAATTTTATAAAATCTGGCCAATTAGTTGAGTTTAACAAGTGCAATCTAAGAGAGAAAGATAAATAGAACTATAAGCAAAAATCTCAAAATGCATTCAATCTTTTCATGAGTTCAATACAAAAGATAGAACAATTTAACAACTTTTACATGAAAAGATTTAAGAGGAACTTGCCTGAAGATACTCAATGTCTAAGGCTGTGTTGATTATTTCTCTTCGCTTGGAAATTTCTTCACATGTGATATCTCGGAATTTATTCTCGAAAGCCAAATTGATTTTCCCAAATATTTCCTAAGAATGAATTTAATTCTCCTACTTACACTTTTGATCTCCTATGACTTTTGCCTTAAATCTAGCTAAGGGATTTATTTTGGCCCAATCCCTTAAGCTCTGGAAAGGAATTATTTATTTGGACTATATTTAATATCTTATTGGACCTTAAAATAAGCATAAGTATATATTTCTCCTAGCCTATTTAATAAAGGTAATAGGCCCACACCTTAGACTTGTTAACTGGCCCAAGCTTCATTTTTCACCCTAATTCCCTCACCCTTGAATTTCCACCACTTAGCTAGCATCACTCTCAAACTTTTCAGCTCACTCCCTCTGTACTCCACACACCATTTCCACTCTTTTGCCCTACTAAATGTGTTCTTCATTTCCCAACCAAGAAGACTAAGCAAGTTTCCATCTTTCATACTCACCAAGCCTATGAAGGGTAAGAGATAGATATTTATAGTCTTTAATAGTGGTTTGCTTACTTCATCATCTAAGATTTTACTCTTTGTGTTTGGGTTTGGGGTTTTGGTTGAAGATCATGTTGATGAGGATGTGCTAGGGTGATTTTGAGGAAGGATTGAAGGTTTTGCTGAGCTAAGAGGTAACCCTATGTCCATGAAAACCTACTTTAAACTATACAATGTGTATTCTTGATGTTCTTGTATTGTATGAGCATATTCTTGTGTTTATGTTCATTTTAGAGCTTGTATCTAGGTTGTATGATGTGTTATTCTTTCTATTCAAGTCATATTTGTTGTTGTTAAGTGTATTGATGTGTTTGGACTTGGATTGCACATTCTTGGAATTTTTTCCGAAGTTGAATTTCTCTACAGGGTTTGGTACCAGCGGGTACTTCTGGCGGGCAGGTTGCCACCCGCCAGAACCCCCCGCCGGTTCCCTTGTTCCTCGTGGGTAGTTTTGGCGGGCACTTTAGGCCCGCCCACTGGTACGTTTTGTTGATTCATTGATTTGTTGTTCCTCGTGTGTTTGTAAGTATTTATTGATGTTTCGTAAGTCTAGACCGGCGTATATGAACCTTATGGTTAGGATTTGGAGTCTTGAATCGTAATTAATATCCAATATTGCTATTCGTTGGATTATTTGATGAAGTTTATGATGTACGTTTGAATCCTTGTGATTACTCTTTGACTTGTGTATTAGCATGTTGTTTCTTGATACTAGTAGGATTTCCTGGTGATAGCCTTTGCTTGATTCTTGATAACGTGAGCTTATCTATTCGTTGTGACACTTTGTTGGAATTCGTTGTCGTTGAGCCTTTGTCTTTGGAATATCCTTCTTGTAATCTCTCTTGATATCCGTTTGAACCATCGTTGTGACCTTGTACTCCTGTTGTATCTTATTCTTTGAATGGAGCTATTGTTTGAGCTTATTCGTTGTTGAGTACACTTCTTGTGGAATCTATTCTTTTGTTTTATCTCTTATGATTCCTTGTGTATTGAACTCGTGTTATGATGATTGAGCTAGAACGGTGGACAGTGTGGGGATTTCTTACAGATTCGGGATGTTGGTTTGACGGACAACCTGTCGAAACATATCCAGGTTGT